TATATAGTCAAAATTTAAAGGAAGTGAGTGTCTGTGCTGGAAGATTGCAATGTAACTTAGGAAGAAAAACAGTAAATCCTGGAGAGTTAAGTTATGATTACTGATGAATCAATGTATACAGACAGGCTCTCAGAGGCACCTGTACACTAAAATTATTCATTGTCCCAGGTCACCATTCACAGGCTCTGAGGAAGAATGGTTGTTTTTCTGATATACACATAGAAAATGATGTCACGTAACAGATAGAGAAAACGATTGCTTTACAGAAGTTAACAGAAACTATCTAAAATATAAAAACTAGAACTGCACGGGAAAAATGACTTGCATGTGTGTGGTTTGTACATGTGGCCTCTTTTACAAAAGCTCCAGCTATTATATTGGTGTCATGGAATAGAATTATTTCCTTCTTTATTTTCTCTTCCACCATTTCTTTCATGATTCGCCAGAGTCATTTGTGCTCCACCCAGGACTGGAAAGTCTCACCTGATGAACCCAGTAAAATTGTCACAACTACTTTTCCAGCGGTGGTTATCATGTTGCCAATAAACTCCTTCAGCTTGGAAGCCACAAAGGCAAACCTGCGGAAGATTTTCAGTTTTGTGCTTTCTTCCATCTCGCCTTCAACACCATCTCCTTCGTCTAAACCCTCTTCATAGATCAGTGCCTCTTCTGGATCTAGTTTTTCTCCTCCAGCCTAAATAAAAAACAAACAAACAAAAGCAAAACAGAAAACACTGTAGTCCCAAACTCTGCCTATCCACCCAGCAGATGACATAGTTTGTAATTTATGGGTCAGAGAATGCGGTGATTTCACAAATCTGGGAAAAGACGCAGAGAACCACTTATGACCCTGCCAGGGCTCTGATAATTCCTGAGGAGCTCTAACCTCCCCTGGAGAAGTAACCAGGAAACATCACTAATCATAGGCCCCTAATAGCATGTCATCTTACCTACAAGAGCTCATCTTTTATGGGTGGAACAAGAAACTGTCCGAAACATCTTTTAATAATCTTAGCTTTCATCAATCTGCATTTGGTTCCGCAAATTCACAGACTTTGCCAGCAAGGTGATGGGAGGTTGAAGTACCCGTGGCTTTAACTGAAAGGGTGAGTTACATCGCTGCGTAGAAAATCCTTTTTCTCCTGAAGTTTACCTTTGTTCACTATGTTAGTATTTCCTGACCACGGGAGGATGAGTGGTCTTGGGCTACTTGGCTAAATATACAGTCACTGCCTCCCTTATTCTTAGAGAATGATACACTGGTTCAATTCTGGACAACTCAGCACCGCAGTACAATCATTAGAAATTTAGGGAAGAAACACATGTGCAGAATATAAATATATTTCCATGCATTATTTTAAACTAGGTATATGAGGGTCTTTTTATTTGTCTTATTTGTAAAGACTGCATAGGAATTTTTTTATTTTTTGGCAAATTAGAATCTTTCCCTAGAAGGGTTAGGATTTTCGTAGAGGAATTGTAATATAAACCATCACTTTAAGACAAAAGGAGGCTGTTTCAGACTTTTGAAACTTTGTTTGCATGTGCCCCTGGGCTGACAGACTTCCTGTTCTTAGCCAGATTGGCTCTAGACGCTGGCTGCAGAGCCAGCGGGGTTTTTAGGCCCAGTTCACACATCTATTTAAGGCTTAAAGAGGAGAGCCTGGCCTCTCCATTTTCCCATTTTAAAGGTCTTTCTTTGATACACTCAGTTTAGATATTTACATAATGTTCACTGATGGTATCTGGACCTCTAACTATGTCTGAATTCACTGGCACTGGGCACAAGTCCTCTCAGCACTTGAACTTTATCTGCACCTAGATAAAGTTCAAGAGCTGAGTGGACTTGAGGACTGAGGGATCCTCTGTTTGCCTAGGAGAGTACGACCACTTGCATCTTAAGTTGGTTGCTAATGTACCCCACCACACATGGGAACGCATGTGCACGCACACACACACACACACACACACACACACACACACACATTTAATTCCAGGCCTATTCAAGTTGATACACCCAAATCTGGTTTTATCGTATTCCATCATGGCACATTTGTATTTTTCCCGAAGGAAAAGTAATTTCTCATGCTTATTCATTAAGATTTTTCTATCTGTTCAAGGCCTATTGTGTGCTAGTATCTCTAGTGAAAGATGAAGCAATAAAAATGTAAATAAGTAAAAAATAAACAACCTAAATATCTCACAGTGATATATGCTAATCAGAGAATTAAAATAGGGTGATGTGATTGTGAGTAACAGGGTGGCTATTTTAGATTCTGAGGTCAGGGGAGCCTCTCTGAGGAGGTGACATTTAAGCTAAGATCTGAATGTACAATGTCACAAGCCACGTGAGAAACCCTAGGTAAGAGCATTCCAGGCAGAGGAAAGAGCTGGTCAAGGTCCATGGTGTGTTCAGAAAGAAGGCATATGTCCCCCGAACTACTTCTCTACACCTCCTTATCCTTCCCCTTGTCAGCTGATGACCCTACTTCCTACTTCACTGAGAGAAGAGGGGTGAGCTCAGGCCAGTTCATCAGCCCACCTATCTAAAGCCCACCAGCAATTCCACTTCCGGGTATTTATCCAAAGAAAATAAGAACACTAATTCAAAAAGACATATGCACTCCTATGTTCACTGTAGCATTATTTATAACTAGAGGCGCAGTGCATGAATTCATGCACAGGTGGGGTCCGGCCGGCCCGGCCCTAATTGGTGGATTGGTGGATCGGGGCCGGGCCTGTCAGGAGGAGGAGACAGCGGGATGTTGGCTGGCCAGCCCGCCCTGATCAGGGCCCAATTAGGGCCTGGCCAGCTCGGGGGAGGGGCTGCGGGCAATTGGCCGGCAGGCCCTGCCCCCGATTAGAGTTGGAGGGGTGGTTGGGGGCAGGGCCAGCTGTGGGGAAGGGCTGTGGGTGGTGGGCCAGCTGGCCCCCCCCCCGATTGGGGGGGGGGGGGTGGTCAATTGGGGGCAGAGGTGGCTAGGGGAAGGGGCTGTGGGCCGATCAGGGTGGTGGGGGCTGATTGGGGGTAGGCTGATCAGGGGCAGAGCTGTCCGGGGGTAGGGGTCATGGGAGGTTGGCTGGCCTGCCCCGCCCCCTGATTGGGCCGGTTCTCTGGCTGCAGTGGGCATTATAGCGACCGGTCATTCTGGTTATGGCTTTCCAGTCACTGGCTTTTTATATATATAAAAGATAGCCAAGATATGGAAGCTACCCAATGTCAATCAATAGATGATAGATAAAGAAATTGATAGATGATAGATAGATAATATTCCACATACACCCAATGGAATATTACACAGAAATAAAAAAATGAAATCTTGCCATTTGTGACAACATGGATGGATCTAGAGCAGCCGTGGGCAAACTACGGCCCGCGGGCCGGATCCGGCCCGTTTGAAATGAATAAAACTAAAAAAAAAAACCCTTTTATGTAATGATGTTTACTTTGAATTTATATTAGTTCACACAAACACTCCATCCACGCTTTTGTTCCGGCCCTCCGGTCCAGTTTAAGAACCCATTGTGGCCCTCGAGTCAAAAAGTTTGCCCACCCCTGATCTAGAGGGTATTATGTTAGATGAAATAAGTCAGGCAAAGAAAGACAAATATCATATGGTTTCACTTACATGTGGAATCTAAAAAACACACATAAAACCAACAAACAAACAAAGCAACAATAGACTGATAGAAACAGAGACCAAAGGGATGGTTACCAGAAAGCAATTGGTGGGCGATGGGTGAACAGGTGAATGGGACTAGAGTCAATAATATTGTGATAAGTTTGCTTGGTGACAGGTGATCACTAGAATTAGTGGGGTGACAACATTATAAGGTATAAAAATGTCAAATCACTATATTGTACACTGAAACTACTATAACCAATACAGTATTATATACCAACTATACTTAAAAAATAAAAATAAAGCCCACCTGTGGAGCAGACACTCAGATCCCTCCCTCCTGTGGCTGTGGATGAGCTGTACATGCTGGGACACCAAAGAGGACAGCCCCGGCCCGCCTCCCCTCTCCCCTGCATCACCGTGTGCTCCCTTTCTCCTGGAACACACCATCAGCAAATCTACATGCCTCACCAGCTCCCCTTAGAAAAACACATTCCTGCCAACCCACATTTACTTTACAAAGAAACACTAAGACTTAGCTCCTTCCCCCACACTTCACTTCTCTGGAACCCGCCTTAGCAGGATTTTGATTATCAATCACTTCACCTAAGGAGGGGTTTGATGATCTATTTCACAAGGGAATCCCAAGGGAGGTTACTGCTGTGGTTGAGGAGAGGGGAGTTATGGAGCTGAAGAGAGTTTTTGCAGTGTCTTTGCAGTGTGTCTTGGAGTTCCAGTCAGCAGGAATGTAAGCTAATGTAGAGGGAGGAGGGATAGAGGGGAATCAAAGATAGTTCCAATAGTTTTGTCTTCATGGATGAGATGGGACAATAATGAGTGGATTGTGGAAATTCAACTCTGAGATGCCTTTCAGCAGTCCTGTTGGAGGTGTCAGTGGACAGCTAGTATAGCAATCTGGAGCGCTGGAGAGGGCAAAGCAGGAGACGTTTATTCGAGGTTCACTGGCATGTGGACGGCTTTAAAGGCAGGGGTCTGATGAGATTTCAGAGTTGCTGCCCCACCCTGGAACGAGTCTGTCCATCCAACCTTATCCTCATCTCTTTGCCGAGAAACATCACCTGCAGGAAATCATGTGTGTGTGTGTGGGGGGGACGGGTGAGCAATGCATTAAAAATCCTCCTGGATGAAGGAAACCTGGCCAAAACCTTCAGTCACTGCACTTGAAAAAGGAGACAGAGAGAGAGAACATAGCCAGAGCTGCCTGGGTCACAGTTAGAAACACACTCATAACTTTCATAATAAATGACTTATTATTCAATTATAGAATTGCTACGGATGTAGATTAAATCGAGTAAAAATCTCTGGTCAAGAACTTTGTGAGGTTAAACAAATGCATTTCCCCGACCTCTCTTAGGCGGGACTAGGGCCCCTGCGATTTTTATAAACATACCACTGTATTTGAGGTTTTTCGGCATTTTTGTACCAAAATCCCTGAGGCCCTCCGTTGGAAATGCTTTCTAAAGCTTTCAAGCTGAGAGAGAGCCGAAAGTGAGCTGTGTTTGACTTTGTGAGCCCCTACCGTCCAAGCCGGGGCCAGCACTGCCATTAGTCACATCATCTGGCTTATTAACAGGCAGGCTTTCTTCCCCTAAATGATTCCTTGGGTGCAGTATAAACACAGCCTCTCGGGCAGAGCACTGGCCTGCTCCCACGTATTTACTAACAAGCCGCCATGCTGGTCACGGTTGTAATTCGTCCCTGCATTTGAATACAACTTGATTCTGGCCTTGAAGCTAAGAAGGGGTAGCTATAAATACTGATTTAGTTCCCCTGGTTCCTACGCTGTCTTAGAAATTAAAGACCAGCAGAACCCTTTACAGTTTAAAAAGCCACATAAAATATTACATATCATTATTGTCCATAAATCTAAAACTTAGCTGAAGAAATGTAAATCCTTTACCAAGCCTTCTTTAAAAGTAACTGACTTCAAAATGCACCCACATCTCTTCCACATCTTTTTTGTTTGTTAGTTTTTGTTTGTTTGTACTTGTTTTTTGTACTGATTAATCTTCACCTGAGGATTTTTCCCATTGATTTTTAGAGAGGATAG